AAGCAGCAACCAAGGGAGTAGATACCCACCTGTAGAGGAGGATCCGAAGCCATCAAGAAACACCAAGCTCCAGACGATGGGGGGGCCAAAGACCGGGGGAGTGGAGAGGAGACAACGCGGAACAGATCAGAAACGTCAGGTCCCCGCATAGGTGGCAGGGGCACCCCCTCGTCAACTCCATAGACGGAGGAGGACAAAGGAGCCATAGAGGAGAAGGGAGAAGGGAGAGCCAAGCACCCCAGATGAAGGACCGGAAGCAACACACAAAAGGGGAGAAAACAGGGAAGAAAACCACCAAGCAGGGGGGAGGAAGCCAGAAGAACGGCTCGAGCGAGGCCTCCAAGCCCGCCAGAAGGGCGCTGGGAAAGAGGCTGCGGGAGGGTTCCCCAAAGGGTTGACGAGACTCAAGGCGGGTCCGTGTGAGTGACCACGGAAGGAAGAACGGACGAGTACAGCTAGGGACGTAAAATATGAATCAACACCCGAATCCCGAAACATAGAACAAGCCCAGAGTGATTAAGCATCGAGTGCATATTCCCCCCCTCACCCTGGAGACTAGTCAGGAGTAAGTAACTGCGGGGAGAGCACCGGCCTAAGATCAGAGAGGAGGAGCCCCACGCGGAAAACTCCCCCCAACCCAAGAAGCTCGAGTGCAGATTGGACTCAATCAAGAAAAGCCAAAGGAGGATAGGAGCAACAGGCAGAGAATCAGGCCAACAGCATGGGAAGCTTCAGCGGCTATATGCAATATATACAGGGAGAGCTGGGAAAGAGCTGGTGCAAGGGAGCGGAGAAAGATGCGGACGCGACAGTCTGTGGCCTATCCTCAAGCGGCGAGCCCCAGGGAATCCATGATTACGGGAACCGTTGGATCGGAATTCTAGGGAAAGATGCGGTGATGTTGAAAAACATAGCACAGGCGGCAAAGATCATCTGCAACTCGGTTGATACTTGGGCCGCTAATCTGCAAGTTGATGAAGGGGCAGGCCGATGGGGGCAGTCTAGATGCAAATCAGAAGAATTAGGGATTCAGGGAAGGACGGCGCCGAAGTCGTCATGTGACTGGAGGGCAAAACAAGCACTCTGGTATCTTAATCAGGGATTGACAGAATTAAGGCCAGACAAACCGGAACAGAGGAGCTTAATGGTTTGCATGGATATAGTTTCAATAATCTTAGGAATCTTCGGCAACGCACGGAAGGGAAAAGACGAGTATGAGTATAAGCAAAAGAATTTATGCCAAGCCGTTTATGAAGCCTTCAGCGAGTGGGGCGGGGAAGAAGTGGCGACGAGCCTCATGGACTTTTGGTTCCCAGCCAACACCGGGGGCATAATCCTGGGAAGGAAATCCATGCCTCAAGAAACAGGACACGGCGGGACGTGGAGAAACGCATTATATATCAGGCCAAGGGGAATAACTAGCATACAGTGCAGCTTGCGGCAGCCAGGACCACCCAGGACCTATAGCACCAGCTGTTATTGGACTAAGGATTCTTCAGGTTGTGAAAATTACAACGATGAGCAATGGACCGCGGCCGAGGTAAGGACAACACGAAGGATACTGGTCTGAGCAAAAGCAAGAAGGCCCGAGTCATTGAGAGGGGGGCCTTGAAACAGGGAGGGTTTGTGGGGGCATACCCCAACGGGAGGCGAGGTGAGCATCAATCCAAAGGCCGAAGCACTCGCAAGAGAGGAGTCTGACACAACGAATATATCTGGTTAATGGTTGATAGCAACCAAGACCACCGGTAACAATCTATCAACAGTTCACTGGCTCCGGTGCTCAGGACCAGGCACACGCAGTCCACTCCTCCTACAAGCCATATGAAGGAGAAAGGAAGCCTCAAGCAACGGCGCCACTCATCCCTTCACCGTCAGCCACGAGGAACGCGACAAAGAGGAAGAGAGCCAGTGAGTCAGTCAACATTTCCCTCTTTCCTTCCACAGGAATGGAAACTGGCGTCCAAGGTGGTGTCCGAGAACGAGTTGAGCGAATTAATCCAGAGGCACGAGGACCAATCTTCAAGACTTCCGCCCTCAAGCTCCTCATCAGGCTGGAGGCTGCTAGTTCAGGCCATAGGAGCAGGTTCCGTTATAGCAGCCGCCGTTCCTTTTGCCTGGTATATTTGGAGAAGAGTATTTCATTCAGGTAGTAGCCGGAACAGTGGGAGGTTTAGAATCAGATATGAGCAGCAATAAGAAAGAATTCCAGAGAGTATTACCGAGGTTTATGATATCAGGGAAGAATCAACCACAGAGATGCAAAAATACGGCGCCGCTCTTAAGCCACGCCTGGGAAGGGCTGAATCACAAATTAGCCCCCGACCAAAAGAGGAAACAAAGGAGGTAAGAGAAGGAGGATCAATCCCAAGGAAGTTCCCCCTCAACGGGGGACCCAAAGAGACGAAGGGACATCACAGACGAGTTAGAAGAGGGAAGGGCGAGGCTACTAGAATTGAACGAACCAAACATCCCGAGGGAGGAGGTCAACAGAGGACTAACCCAACTGTCATGTGGAGAACGCCAGAAAGAATAGAAAGTTGGCACAAGAGGTAACAACACCCCCATGCCCCAGTCGGAGACAACTCAAAGGGAAAACTCAACCCGCCGAAGTGAATCAGCAAGGGTTGACAAAGGAGGGGGAGCAGAAATCAATGAACCCTTCCATGTAGTTCCCAAGACGAAGCCTCTAGAAAAGGAGGATGACAAACGAAACCGGATCGAAAAACCTTACTTAAACAGGAAATATCCCGCCTGAGGAAAATATGGGTGCCCCCCCTCCAGCATCTCTGGAAACCACCCTCTCGAGCCAACCCTCTCAGTGGTATATGCAACAAACTTGCCATCTCCCGCAGGGAGCCGGAAGAAGACTCCCCCAAGAGGAACAGCACCCCCACCGCCGGGGAAGCGAGGCCACGAGTAGAAGCCAGGCAAGCAAACTAAGGGGAGCTTTAAAACAGGTGACGATTAGGACAAGGGAGGCAGGAAGAAGGACCCAGACCTGGACACCTAGGACGACGTAACCCTTCCAGATAAAGGGGGTTCCAATCCACCCAAAAGAGCGAATGAACCCCTCCCTCGCCCAGAGACATAGAAACAGCATACCTGGGGACCAGTACCCGTGGCATTACGGGCCAGGAGAGACAGTTGTGAAAACAAGAAGAGAAGATGACGGCGGATACGACCAGCAGCAGGTCAGGTTGAAGGGGGGGACCTATGGAGTAAACAACTAGGAGGGTGATAGTAGGGTTAGAACAGAAACTATGGCCTAGGCACATCCAGCCAGACTCCAAAGGATATCATTTGCGGTTATCCCTTAGCCGTGAGGGAAGCGGGACGAAGCGTACGAACTTCAGAATTATCGAGGGGAAGTATAGATCACGTTCAAGGGATATGGCGATTTAAGGTTCCTGGGGTCCAATACAAGTTTAGATACGGGGGTTGGGATTACGGAGATTAAGTATGACGTGAAGGGATGAACGGGGAGTGGCGGGGAATTTGGGATTTAGGTTTCGAGATTCGGGCTTTGGGGCTTAGGGTTTAGGGTTCCGGTTTAAGTTTAGGGTTCAGGCTTTAGGGTTTAGATTTTGGTTTTAGGTCTTGTACTTGGCGCTTAGGCCTGAGGATTCATCCTTTAGGGATTATGATCTCGGCTTTTACTTTTTAGGGGATAGAGTTCATGGTTTTGGACTTAGTGTTTATGGTTTAAGCTTCAGAGATTTATGGTTTCGTGTCTAGGACTTAAGGTTATGGATTAGGTGTAGGGTTCTGGGTTCAGTCCGTATAGTTGCCTTTTCAGGGTATTTTTCTTAGGTCTTCTGTTTCAGGAGTCAGCGCTTCAAGTTCACGGTGAAGGTTTAGGTTTACGGTTTAGGGTTTAGGTTTAGGCCTACGGTTTCGGGGTTCACGTTTCTACACCCTGGGGCCAATGTATAGGCTTGATGTTCTGTTGTTTAATCATCATATTTGTGCTGTTAGCTTCATGGTCAGGGATTCAGTATATGTCCCGATTGTGCGCTATTCTTTCTGTTTTACTTTAGGCTTACTATTGGCAGATTTCGGCATCCTGTCTCTTTTCTAAAATTTCTCTGCTTTCCAATTGACCCTTTGGAACTTTTGGAGATAATGCCTCACGTTTTACATTTCAGGTATTCGGGGGGAGCCACTTATGCTGCTGTTTGCGGGATTCTGCGATTTGATTCAAATTCTACGATTCCGTAAATATATGTGTTGGCTTGTCTGGATACCCTTCAATTCAAGGGGTAGTCGGTTCGGCTTAGGTTCTGGTGATGGGTGTTTTGGAATTGTCTTAGACTACTGGGGTTAGGGATTTGGATCTATCCTTTTACGTTTACTCTGTGGCTGTTGTGCCTGGCAGGCATGCTGTTCTTTTCTGTTTTGGGGGGTGCAGATTTTATAGTTCTTGGATTTAGTGTGTAGTGTTCAAGGGGTAGTGTTTACGATTTAATATTTAGTTATTACCCTTCAAGGTGTATTTCAGAGGTGTCATTGCGTACCCTTCATGTTTTACTACTACACGTGCTAGTTGTTATGTACCTATATTTTCACAGAGGGAGACTATAAAAGTGTTTCACTTACTGGTAATACGGGTAGCATTCCAGGATGCTATGCCCCTTGATTTTTGGTTTAGTACCTTTTGTTTAAGGCTAGTTGTTTGGGTTCATACTTGGAGATGTAGGTAGCGCATGTTATTATGCATCCTTTTGTAACTTGGCCTCTACGGACGACATTTTCTTGGTTGATTTCATGCTGATGATCCAAGTTGCTTTCCCCGTTTTATTGGTTGAGTGTAATTTGCTGGTGTTGTCCTTTAGTCCTATATTTCATATGGTATGACTTAATGTCGAGGAATCTCTTTGGTCGATTTAGATTTTGTTCCCAAGCATGGACGTTTAGTGTTTAGGGCTGCGGTTTGGTGCTTCTAAGGAAGCACCTGTATTTTATAGTGTGGGGGACTCAGGGTTAGGGGGGGGGGTTTCCTGTAGTTTATTTTGTTGCCGGTTATAGTTTCTGAGCTTAGGTATGTGTCTTAGGGGGTATCTTTAGCTTTAGGCCCCTGACTTTGTTTTTAGTTTTGGATGCTCCTTCATTATTCTTTATTGTTAGCTCCTGTGGGTTTCTTTCCCCTTCTTTACCTGCTAGGCGCAGCTTATAACTTCTCTTCTCCTGCTGTTCATGTTGTTCGGTTTAAGGCTTATTATTTCGAGACTCCCTTTCTCTATTACGACTCAATCTCTTAGCGGTTTGTCTCCAGGTTGGAGGTGCGATATGCACATTTATGCTTCAGGTTCATGGTGCAAGTCTATGGCGTTTATTTCAGAGTTTATTCTCTAGGACCTCTCGGGTCATGCTTCCGTGTCTATATTTTTTTGTTATTGCCCTTGCTCGTATTGTTAACTTTTTAGCTTTCATTTCTTATGCTATATCTCTTAGCCCAGAATGATCAAGTTTCCAATCTTGGATTTATCCTTTGGAGTTTGAGCCCTGCTCTTCCTATGTTAATTCCTGGGCTCTAACCTCTATGGGAGGTCAGGTATGGCTTAAGGCTCAGTGATGCTGAAGTAAGCTCCATGCTACAGGCACTTTTGGGCACAGGCAATGCTTAGTCGTAGAGACTGGAAATGTATATCGCAGAGGTAGTTTCTCAGTCCCTGCCCATTTCCCTTATTATATGGATTCTATCTCGTAGTGCCTAATCTGTGCTGTCGGCTCGTTGTTTGAGTCTCTAGGTTGCTTCCATTATTGCTTATGCCTGGTCTCCCTCTGTTACGCTCTTCTTTGGCTTAGGTTCCTGTAATTTTGAGGGCTGCAATTCTATGGAGTTGTTTTAAAGAGTACATTTCTCTCTATATATTTTACCTGTGCTTCTTGGTTCTTACGCTTCAATTTTACGCAGTTAGGTTGCAGGGTTTAAGCACCTATTTCATTTGGGTTTTACTCAGGCACTGTGCTGTTGGCTTATGGATGATTGTTGTTGTCTCAACTCTTATTGTTCAGTCTGTATTCTTTAATATTTAGCATTAATGCTTTATTTCTTATCCCCTCGGTTCGACTCTTGAGTGTATTTTTCATGCTTTATCCTCTATGTTTACGCCTCCAGGTTCCTGTTTATGACCAGGGGGCTTTGTTCACCTCTTAGCGTCTATTAGTATTGTTCGATAAGTTATTTTAGGCGCGTAAGACTCACTGATTATGCGCCTTTTGTACTGTGATCATTCTTAGGTTCTTATGATCTAGGGTGTAGTTGTTGGGTTGTATCTTCTGGGTCTTAGGCTGTATATCTCATGGCTTAGGTTCTACGTATTATCAGTAATGCGCGTTCGTTAGCATGTACTCGCACCCTCTATTCTTTATTTTTAGGGTTAATTCCTTACATATGTTCCCCTATTTCTGTTGGCCCTTTTTATTTCCTATCTCCTTAAGCTTAGGATGTTTTGCCATATCTTGACGGTGTACGGTTCAGATTCCCTGGTGGCGGATTCAACTTCACTGTTTAGGACTTAGGGAATACCTTTAGTGTTTATCTTTGTTTGATGAAGTGTAGGGTGGTTTCTGCCTGGCCTAGGTTTATGGTCTATATTGCTTGGGTACTGTGCACTGTTCAGGGGTATGTGCTATTGTTCATGCTCTAATGTTCTTTGGTGTATTTGGTCCTATTCTTCTTCAGGGTATTTCCCCGAATGTTTCTGCGTTAGGGATCATGTTTATGTTCTACATGTATGAATTTGCGGCGCCCTTCTGCATTGCCTGTTTTTTACTTTTTATGGGGTTGAGATCTGTTGTATTAATTGGTTTCCAACGTCGAGTTGTGGTGTGGTATGATTTATTGTGCAAGCTTGATGGTTAAAGGCTTCTGCCTCCTGTTTCTGGTCCTGTTATCAGCCTCTAAAGTCTATTCTTTACGGTTAGCCCTTTAATGCTGTTCGCTCCGGATTTACAGTTTGGACCTTAAGCAACCCCTCACAAACATCATTGCCCACTCTGCGTTCCCAGGTGGTCTTGGTTCCCCCCCGATTTACTTTATTATTTCCTTGTTCCTGTGGTAATCTTGTGCTGTTTGGTTTCTTTTACGGCGCCTTCTCTTATTTTCTCTCTATGGTGTCTTGTTAGAAGTCTGCGAAGATAGAAGAACAGATATATTTGTAGATTCCTTATTATTCTCCCCATATTCAACATATTTTAACGGTGTTAATATAAAGATACGGAACAGTCAATGTTCAGACTCCGTCTGTTTACTTTATTGAGATATATACATAGGGACAACAGTCTTACTGAGCTATTGTTACTTCCCTGGCTATCCTATTTCCTTCCTTTTCCCATATGATATAT